ATAGTTAAACATCTAACTGTAGTTGGTGTAATGCTATGGAAATGACAGAACAAAGAAGTATATCAATCAAAGAAGACTCCGCGTCGGTCTTCTAAACAGCCGTTCACTGACAAATAAGGGGCCTCTCATCCAAGAGCTCCTATCTGACTGTAAGTTTGACTTTTTCTGTTTAACTGAAACCTGGCAACAACCTGATGACTTTTCTCAACTGAATGAATCCACTCCTCCGGGGTTTGTTTACTTTTCGAAACCTTGCTGCTCAGATTGTGGGGGTGGTCCCGCGATCATTTTTCGCCAGCACTTGAAAGTCCTGCCAGTTAATTTTGATCGATTTAGTTCTCTAGAGTGCCTTTTAAGTGAGCTGACTGGACCTATTCCCACCATCATAGCTACTGTGTACCGCCCCCCCAAACCTAACCTCAGTGACTTTGCGAACCTACTAACCCACCTTTCATCTCTCTCCCCAAATGTTATTTTGATAGGAGATGTCAACATTCATATCGAAAATAATAACCTTCTGCTCACCAGAGACATTTCCTCCTGTCTCAAGGGCTTTGAATTCAAACAGTTTGTCAACTTTCCCACTCACTAAAAAGGACACACCTTGGACTTGGTCTGCTGTTCTGGTCTTACTCCCTCGAATCTTTCTGCTGCTGAAATCCCCATAACTGACCACTCCCTCCTTTCATTTAACCTCACTCTCTGTTGCGCTTCGACCAAGCCAACCCGCCTAATTTCGTTCTGCAACATCAAGAACATTGATATGGACATTCTCGTTACCAGATTGGACAATATTCACAATCCTGTCTTCTATTCTACCCCCGATGATCTGTTGTTATATAATAATAATTGTTTACTCATTGTCCTTGATTCTCTGGCTCCTGTAAAAACTCACTGTTTCCTTCGCTCGCTCTGCTGCCTAGTTTACCTCTGACCTCCGAGTTTTGAAGGCCAAAGCTCAGCAGCTAGAGCGTAGTTATAAGAAATCTGCTTTAACTGTTGACGCAGAAATCTATAAATATCATGTACTCCAATATAAAGACTCCATCAATCAGGCCAAACAAAGCTTCTACTCTGGTATTATCACTTCTTGTGAGAGTAGCTCCAGGACTATGTTTTCACTTCTCAACAAACTTCTTCAGCCCCTCAACGCTTTACCACCACACTTCTATTCTTCTGAAATCTGTAACTCCTTGATGCTGTTCTTCACTACAAAAATGAATAACATTCATCTGGCAACTCAGTTCAAATGCTGTGTCTACCCCCTCTCCAGAACCTTTTCTCCATTTTCAGCCCCTTTCCACCTTTGATCTTCCTGATTTATCTGAGATTTCTGAGTTTATATG